TGACATTTTCTCCTATAACCTGGTCTTTTCACTAAATAACTTAACCAATGGATATCTTTCCAGATTATTAAACATAATCTCCTCTTCCCATTTTTAATGGGAATTAAGGGTATTCCAGTTTAGGTATGATCAAATAATAACCTAATCAGTCCTATGGACATTTATTTCTAATTTTTATTATTATAACAACTACGTGATGAAATTGTTATGCATACATCTTTGTGTACTTGTACAATGATCTCTTTAGAGAAAATTCCTAGAGGTGAGATTACTAGGTCAAGGGATATATACATCTGACATTGGAAATGTATTTTCAAACTACCCTTTAAAAAGGTTGAATCAGCCCACGTTCCCACCAACAGTGAGAAATGAGATAGCTCATTTCCTTCTACTTGAGTGAATCTGAGGCTTTTAAGTCATTATTAATCTTTCCAATCTATTAGGTAAAACACATCATTTATTTTATACTATATATTAGTTAAATTGAACATCCTTTCATGTTCTTACTGGTCACTTGGCATTTGTTTTGTGAACTGGCTAAGTCATGTTATTTCGCTATTTTCCATGTCATTTTCGCAATTTCTTGAACAGAGAATCTCTAGCAGATAGCTCTCCTCCTCCCCTCTACTTTGAGAATCATTGCAGTAGTCAGCATAACCCTCAAGTATGCAGATCTAATGTTTTAAAATTCGTGATCAATTACTTTAAATAAACTTGATATGTAAGGAATGATAGTGGTAGAACGGGCTACTATCAGATTAGCCTTCTCACAAATAACACCTAGTCACTTCAGACAAGAAATAAAACAACTACTTGAAGACTGGAAAGCAATCAAAAGCAGACAGACAGCTACTCTGGAAAGCAGTTTGGTAGTTCCTCACAAAGTTATAAAGATAGAGTTACTATTTAACCTAGTAATTTCATTCCTAAGTAAACCCAAAGAAATGAAAACATGTCTGTACAGACTTATATACATTCTTAGTAGCATTATTCATAATAACCAAAATTTGATACATTTGGAATGGATAAACATAATATATTATATTCATATAATGGAATACTATTTGTTCATAAAAAAGGAATGAAGTACTGATGAATGAAACAATGTGGATGAACCTTGAAAACATTATACTAAGTGAAAGAAGCCAGTCACAGAAAACCACATACTGTATTAATCCATTTATGTGAAATGGCCTGAATAGGGAAATCCATAGAAAAAGAAAGGTGAGTAGTAGTTGCCAGAGGCTGGTTGCTGGATAGGGAGAAATAGGGATTGATAGTAATGAGTATGAGACTCCTTTTAGAGAAGACGAACAATTTCTAAAATTAGAGTGTGGTGGCTGCCCTATGAATACACTTAACACTGAACTGTGTACTTTAAATGGGTAAAATTATAGTATATAAATTATGTCTCAATAAAGCTGCTTTTAAAAAAAGCAGGCAGAAACTTGAGAGGAGTCAATGGTTGACAAAAGGAAACAGTATTGAGTAAATTTCCATTTTTTTACAACCTTTTATCTAAGAACAGACCCTAATTGGTGCCAGGAATTGTGGCTAAATCTCAGATAGAAACTTGCTGTCACTGGCCAAGAAATCAGAGGATAAAGCTCACTGACCATGCAGATGGAAACAGACGAGAAAACTCCAGAAAGAAAAAGGCCACAGGGACTTCATCATTCCACCAGAAAAAAGACAGAGACTAAAGTTTGAGTTTAGTCAAGGTAACTGCCTGTTAACACACACATGAAGTCAGTGCTCTTTAGAGAAACATAACAGAATCTAGAATCTTTACTATGTATTGTTCACAATGTTCAGAATACAATTCAAAATTACTAGTTATGCAAATACACAAGAAAAATGACACAAGAAAAAAGGCAATTGATGACAAAATGCTAGAATTAGCAGATAATGATTTTAAAGACGATATTATAACCAAGACCTTACTGGAAAATATCATTTTGAACACTGTAACAACAGAGAAAATCTCAGCAGAGATATAAGAACTATGAAAGAATAACCAAATGGAAGTTCTAGAAGTACAAAATACAATATCAGAAATTAAAATTCACTGGACAGGCTTATGAAAGGATTGAAGATAACCAATGAAAGGATTAGTAACTTGAAGATAGGTCAACAAGAATTATCCAATTAGAAATCTCCCTGCTGATCTCAGAATACATTTCCCTAAAAATGCTAAATCTAATAAGGTTACTACTTAAAATGAATCAGTGGCTCACTACTGCCTGAAAATAAACTCCAATCTCTTTTAATTTTTCTAACAGACTATAAATCCTTGCCTTTGCATGTTCTGTTCCCTCTCCTGTACCACTGTTCCTTTGATACCAAAGCAATATTTCCAATATTTGAATATTATCATGTCACTAGCCACCATCTGTGGCTTTCTACTGACTAACATACCAGTTTTTCAATTTCATTATTTTAGCTGTTCAAAGGAAGTCTAATATTGGATGCTCAAAGAGAAAAACTGATTAATGCAGAGCGTTTCTGGTTGCAGCTGGAAAGAATGACCAGGAGCTCAGCCTCCTCACCTCCTTTCTACCCTACAGCAACTCCTAGGAGTGCTTCACAGAAAATAATTTGATTTTTAAACGTTAGACTCTTTTACAGGGCAAACATAGATCTGGTCCAAGAATATCTTTTCGGTGTTATCTCCTGGTACTATCCCATGCAAAATCTTGCATAAAAGGCACCATACTTGGATACCCAAAGGTTCCTTCTGACTGCAACTCTCATCTCCCAACTTGTCTCCTTGAAGAACTACTAATTCTTCAAGCCTCAGCTCTCCAATCAATATTCACAGGCAGAACTAAGCTCTTCCACACCTTCATAGTGCTTGCACAAAATAATCCTCCTGCATAGCATTTGTCACATTGTACTATGAATCTTATAGCCTGATTCTATACTAGACTGTCAACAACTTGAGTGAAAATCTTTACATCTCTCTATCACCAGTTTCTAAAATACTCTTATGAGCAGTATACATGTGATGTCTATTGAATAAAAGAAAATATATATAAATGCTAATCTCAAATCCTTAAAAAACTGTTACAATTCTTCAGTCTGAATAAGGTAAAAGAAAAATCCTTTTAGAAAGTTTACTTTTCCAGAATAGTTAACATTCTAAAAACAGGCTTGGTGTTTAATAAAGTAAAACTTTAATTCAGTTATTCAAATCAACTCAACACCCCACATTTTTAAATTTTTAAATATTTTCATCAAAATGGCAATTTAAAGATTTGTCTATTTTTTCAAGATTTTATTTATTTATTTGAGAGAGAGAGAGCTACACAGAGAGAGACCGCATGAGCAGGAGGGAGGGGTAGAGAGAGAGGGAGCGGCAGACTCCCACTGAACAGGGAGTCTGACGCAGAAGTGGATCCGAAGACCCTGGAATCATGACCTGAGCAGAAGGCAAATGTTTAAACAGACTGAGCCACCCAGGCACCCTTATCTATTAATTTTAAAAAGAGAGAGAGAGCAAGCATAAGCAGGGCAGAGAGAGAGAATCCTCAAGCAGACTCCCCACTGAGCATAGACCTTGACACAGGGCTGGATCTCAGGACCCTGAGATCATGACCTGAGCTGAAACCAAGAGTCAGATATTCAACTAAACCACCCAAGTACCCCAAAATGGCAATTTAAAATTATCATGCTTAAATCGACTTATAAGTGAATTATTGAGTATCTACTGTGTTATATAGATAATAGAAACCATTGACCTATGGAATCTTATAAACTATCTAGGGAGCCAACAATAACATACATAAAATGAAAATGGAAAATATAAAAGCATAATACATTGTGAGAATGTGTACATATTCTATAGACTTAGAATCATCACTGAAATATTGGATGAAAATGAGATTATCTGATACAACATCCTAATTTATAACTAAAAAAAGAGAGACTTTATATGAGAGGAAGTTAGAAAAACAGATAAATACCTGTGGAAGGTATGAGGAAATGAAGTTAAACACAAGATGGGCCTTAAAGAATGGGTAGAATTCAGTAAGTATAAAACAGCGGTGAGAGCATTCCACAGAAAGGAAAAGATGAGTGAGGATGTTAGGGTCGGAGAGGATTCATGAGCCTAATTTGAGCACAGATACAAATTAGGGAGTTGTGAGGGAAAGACTGAATGGATTTTATGTTATTACAGTTCAGAGAGCTTCTAAAGCCAGGCATATTTTGAAGCCATATGAAGCCAGACTTCATATTTTATGTGACAGAAAACTTACAAAGCAGATCATTTATAAAACTTCAATAATTCTAACTTAATGGTCCTGGTTTACATTCAAGGAAAATAAGCCACAGAACAATTGTGTGATTTCCTCTTAGTTAGGAATAGCACAGAATAACCCCACTCATCACTCGGTGGCTTCTGGAACACTCTGATGAAGTAACTCATTATTCAAGTTCAATGGGTGAATGTTGCTGAGCTTGGCTGTTTGTTTAGGTTCTAAACAGAATTTGTACAAAGAAGGGTATATACACTCTCTTGTGAGGAAAAGGTCCCCCATGTATGCAAACATGAATTCTTGACAAAAACCCAACTCCTTTGGTTTAAAAATGATCATTTTTAAAACTTACTATTAATTCCATGCCAAAAACATGCAACTAAAATTTCTATATGAAACATATTGACAGTTTAAAAAAAAGTTCAAAAACTGAACTCTCCATGTTGATTGGGTATAAATTTTAATACTTTAGCTACTTCACCATCTTCTATAATCATGCTTAAAATCAGTATTTCCAGAAAGACAAATAATAGAGAATGTACCCATTCTTCAAATTCAACTTAGAGTTTATATGGTCCCATATATCTGGAATTGACTGAACTAGTATATTTAGAAGGCAAATCAGAAAGATGCAGTCAAACGCATTCACTGAAAATTTTTTTTAAAGATTGAGAACCAGGTGTGTTATGCATAATCACATTTATGACAGTACATCTGTGATTGTTCACCATTATAACTTACCCCAGTTTTATCACACAAACGTAAAGTATGAAACGATCCGACAGCAAATAACTCTCCATCTGGAGCCCAGGCAACTGAGGTAATAGGATGCTCGTGAGGTTGTGAATTATACAAAGGGCGGCCATAACTATCCCATACCTAAAAAAACAAAGTTTTAAAAACCTTTTACAACAGTCACCATATTATTACAAAAAAGTTTGTCCTAACAGTAAGGTATCAATTAGAGATTTAGAAATCAACACTTTATAATAGTACTAACTAAATGTCTTTACTATCACATAAGGGGGGGGGGAAGCTGTATTCTTTAAAACCTAAATATCTCAAAAAAATTTTTATAACATTGTAATAATTTTCCAATTTCACTAAATCTTTGTTTAATCATACAACCTATACATTTTGAGTCCTTTTAAATTAAACAAAGTTTTGAAATATTCAATTTTTTGCTTAAAATTTTTGGTCAGTAAGTGCTCTATCAACTTCACCTAAAAGTATTTATTTCAGTTAAATTTCCTCTAACTCCAGTTACATTAAATCTTATTTATAGTATAAATTATTTTGGTCTGAAGCTGAACAACGTTCAATAAACCAGTAAGATTGATTTTTAAAACTTCACTTGAGTTAATTTAAATAACCAGTAAAACCAGGAGTTTTCTTTATGTTCCTGCTCATTAAGTCAAGTTCTATAGGTCAGTAAGATAGGTCAATGAGAAAGTCAACACTTTAAAATACCACTTAAAATTATAAAATAACAATTTGCCAAATCATTTGAGTTAAAAGATACAGCTAAAGTGAAAGACTAAAAGAATATTCTTATTTGCTAAATACTTTTCACCTAAATTTAATTCCTTCAACCAGATGATAAATGAAAAAATCATATACCTTATATTTACAGTCCTCACCAGCAGACAAAATCAGATCATTGACAGAGTTCCAATCTACTTTTAGAATAATGCCATCATGAGCTTTCCACTATGAGGGAAAAAAAAAAAAAAAAAAAAAAGATTTAATTATACCTTCAAGAGCACTAGAAAGTTTTGTTTTGCTTTTTTTTTTTTTTTTTTTTTTTTTTTTTTTTTAAAGAAAAGACAGTTTGCCTCTCTAATGATTCTCTTATCCTGTCTTTGGAGATTCCCATTTTCCTTTGATAGCTGTTACGCATAACCTCATTTGCTTGTTTCATTTCTAATTTAAAGTAAAGAAAACACTTAGGATTATGACATCCACTATATAGCTTACTTCCTTATAAATCTCAATTGCCTGGACTCCAGATGGAAAATCTCTTGCTATTGAAGAATTCCAAGCTTGACATGTGTGTGGTAACACTGGACTGAATCCAAATCTTACTCTTTTTTATACAGTTGATTCAGTTAAAGATAATGTCTTCATTCTTTTTTTATCTTCATTCTTTTCTTTTTTTTTAAGATATTATTTATTTGACAGACAGAGATCACAAGTAGGCAGAGAGGCAGGCGGTGGGGGGGTGGGCGGGTGGGCGGGGGGGAAGCAGCTTTCCTGCTGAGCAGAGAGCCCGATGCAGGGCTCGATCCCAGTACCCTGGGATCATGACCTGAGCTGAAGGCAGAGGCTTCAACCCACTGAGCCACCCAGGCGTCCCTTGTCTTCATTCTTATTTACCAATTCTTTTCTTTTTAAAAAACTTTTATTATATGACCATCTTCTTTACTAGTCTGTTCATTCTCTTCTGCATATTTTCCTAAGCCTCATTCTTTTTACCTTCATGTCTCTGGTCACTGAACTACATAAGAAACCTCTGTATATAACCTTTGTTACCACATAACAGAAAAAGTTTTCCACAGATATGTACATAATCGATACATATATATAGAATGCGTTACATATATGTCACCCAGAAATTGATAATCTAGTAAGTAAGCATGGATCCCCTCTTGCTCTTCAATACAATAAATTCATGTGCCCATTTAGCACATGCATTTTTTCATGTTTAGGCAGAATAATATAACTGAAAAAAAACTAATTTTCCTTGAAGACCACAGGTACATTTTAATGTCTGAGCCAATTATCTTCACATCAAAGAGTAACTGATGTTAAAGGCTCTCTCTCTATAGACCATTCCCAACCTACTGTTTCTTCTTTTTTTTCTTTCAAGATTTTATTTAAATTCAAGTTAGTTAACTTTTAGTGTAGTATTAGTTTCAGGGGTAGAATTTAGTGATTCACTAGTTGCATATAACACCCGGGGCTCATTACAACAAGTGCCCTCCTTAATATCCATCACCCATTTACCCCATCTTCCCACCCACCACCCCTCCAGCAAACTTCAGTTTGTTCTCTATAGTTAAGAGTCTCTTATGGTTTACCTCCTTCTCTGTTTTTATCTTATTTTTTCTTCCCTTCTCTTATGTTCATCTATGTTGTTTCTTAAACACCACATATGAATGAAATCATAGGGTATTTGTTTTTCTCTGACTTATTTCACCAGGCATAATACCTTCTAGTTCCATCCATGTCATTGCAAATGGCAAGATTTGCAATGGTGACTAATATTCCAGTGTGTGTGTGTGTGTGTGTGTGTGTGTGTGTGTGTGTGTCTTTTTGTCATCAGTTGGTGAACATTTGGGCTCTTCCCGTATTTTGGCTATTGTGGACATTGCTGCTATAAACATCAGGGTGCATGTGCCCCTTTGAATCACTATGTTTGTATCCTTTGGAATAAATACCTAGTAGTATAATTGCTGGGATGTAAGGTAGTTGCATTTTTAACTTTTTTTTAAATTTTTTTAAAATTTATTTTTTATTTATTTGGCAGAGAGAGATCACAAGTAGGCAGAGAGGCAGGCAGGGAGGGGGGAGAAGACTCCCTGCTGAGTAGCGAGCCTGATGTGGTGCTCGATCCCAGGACCCCGGGATGACCAGAGCCAAAGGCAGAGGCTTTAACCCACTGAGCCACCCAGGCGCCCCAATTTTTAACTTTTTTTGAGGAACCCCCCTACTGGTTTCCAGAGAGCTGCATCAGTTTACATTCCCACCACAGTGTAAAAGGGTTCTCCTTTCTCTACATCCCCATCAATATCTGTTGTTTCCTGAGTTATTTATTTTAGCCATTCTGACCTGTATGAGGTGGTATCTTATTGTGGTTTTGATTCATATTTCCTTAATGCCTAGTGATGTTGAGCATCTTTTCATGTGTCTGTTCGCCATTCGGATAGCTTCTTTGGAGAAATGTCTGTTTATGTCTTCTGCCCATTTCTTTTCTTTTTTTTTTTTTTTTTTTAAGATTTTATTTATTTATTTGACAGAGAGAGATCACAAGTAGGCAAAGGCAGGCAGAGAAAGGAGGAAGCAGGCTCCCGGCTGAGCAGAGAGCCCGATGGAGGGCTCGATCCCAGGACCCTGAGATCATGACCTGAGCCGAAGGCAGAGGCCTCAACCCACTGAGCCACCCAAGCGCCCCAGTCTTCTGCCCATTTCTTGATTGGATTATTTGTTCTTTGGGTGTTGAGTTTGTTAAGTTCTTTATAGATTTTGGATACTAGCTCTTTATCTGACATGTCATTCGCAAATATCTTCTCCCATTCTGTTGGTTGTCTTTTGGTTTTGTTGACAGTTTCCTTTGCTATGCAAAAGCTTTTTATCTTGATGAAGTCCCAATAGTTCATTTTTGCTTTTGTTTCCCTTGCATCCAGGGAGGAGTCTAGTAAGAAGCTGTTGTGGCCAAAGTCAAAGATGTTGCTGCCCATTTCTCCTCTAGGATTTTGATGGATTTCTGTCTCATATTTAGGTTTTTCATCCATTTTGAATTTATCTTTGTGTAAAAATATTTTTTGTGTAAAAAAGTGGTCCAGTTTCATTCTTCTGCATGTTGCTGCCCATTTTCCCAACGCTATTTGTTGAAGAGACTGTATTTTTTCCATTGGATATTCTTTTCTGCTTTGTCAAAGATTAGTTGACCATAGAGTTGAGGGTCCATTTCTGGGTTCTCTATTCTGTTCCATTGATCTATGTGTCTGTTTTTGTGCCAGTACTATACTCTCTTGATGACTACAGCTTTGTAATACAGCTTTAAGTCTGGGATTGTAATGCCTCCAGCTTTGATTTTCTTTTTCAACATTATTTTGGCTATTCAGGGTTTTTTAATGGTTCCCTACAAATTTTAGAATTGTTTGTTCTAGCTCTGTGAAAAATGCTGGTGTTATTTTGATAGGGATTGCACTGAATGTGTAGATTACTTTGGGTAGTACAGACATTTTAACAATATTTGTTATTCCAATCCATGAGCATGGAATGTTTTTCTATTTCTTGTGTCTTCCTCAATTTCTTTCATAAGTATTCTATAGTTTTCAGAGTACAGATCTTTTACATCTTTAGTCAGATTTATTCCTAGGTATCTTATGGTTTTTGGTGTAACTGTAAATGGGACTGATTCCTCAATTTCTCTTTCTGCTGTTTCATTATTGGTGTATAGAAATGCAATACACTTCTGTGCTTTGATTTTATATCCTGTGACTTTTCTGAATTCCTGTAGCAGTTCTAGCAATTTTTTGGTGGAGTTCTTTAGGGTTTTCTACACAGACTATCATGTCATCTACAAAGAGTGCAAGTTTGACTTCTTCTTTGCTGATATGGATGCCTTTTATTTCTTTTTGTTGTCTGTATCTGAGGCTAGGACTTCCAGTACTATGTTGAACAACAGACCATCCTATTGTTCTTAATGCACACAGAGTAAAATATTAAATTAGAGTCAAATAAGCTTTAAGAATAAATAGTAATTCATAGCTTGCTTTACTCAGGATATATAAAAATAGCTACTCTCAAAAACAAATGTTTTGATAATATACTTTAAAAAGAATTAATTCACACAATTTACCATTAAATTAATACAATGTCCTGAAATAGACTACAAGGATAAAAATAACAATGCACAGGGGCACCTGGGTGGCTCAGTCGTTAAGTGTCTGCCTTTGGCTCAGGTCATGATCCCAGGGTCCTGGGATCGAGCCCCACATCAGGCTCCCTGCTCTGAGGGAAGCCTGCTTCTCTCTCTCCCACTCCCCCTGCTTGTGTTTCCTCTCTCACTGTGTCTCTCTCTCTCTGTCAAATAAATAAAATATTTAAAAAAAAATAATGCACAGACACAGATATGGGTATATATAGATACACATACACAGAGATTCTCAAGAGTCTCCTTTCTAAGCTATAAAAATAAATTTTTATATATTCAAAAGTTAGGAACAAAATATGATTTAAACCTTCCATATACTATGATTTAGAATTATCAGTTTATATTATACATATTTATATACTACACATAAAGCATAGACAGTTTTCAATTATTTCTCAATTAACCGGACATTTTGTGAAATTCCTTTGACAACGAGTTTCTTGAGGGCAGAAACTATGTTCTGTTTCACTCTGAATTATCTCACATAAGGCACAGTATCTGGTATATAATATGTATGTACTACATTTTCACTGAATGAATAAATAAACAAAAGTCTCCTCACTATAAAACCAAACTCTGGGTCTCAAGAAGAGTCCCTAAAGCTTTTAATGGAAATCAGGTATATACTTTTAAATTATATTCTACAAGCAAGAGTAAGTGTTCCTTTTTACGGACAACCCAAATTTGAATATGTGTTTATACCTAAGGAAAACTGCCACAGCTTTAGTTTACCCAAAAGAAAAAAAAAAGAAAATTTGCACGAAGTTACCAATTATACTTGAACTCCTCTTCCACAGTAGCTGAATTTTGGCAGTGGGTGCTTTTCTTGCCCTCTACTACGTGCTGGCCCAAAGATTCTACTAAACCACTGAACTATAATTTACCAATGGTAATATACAGTATCTGAGTTGTGTTCATATAAGCCTAATTATAGGTATCTCAATAAATCACATAACTATAAACCAAAAGATTCACCTTGCCTGTTTTTGCTGTATAATTTTAAAGCAGATTTTTGGAGTTTAAGTGGTATGGAAGAACTTTGACTAAAGGCAGGCAGAACTAGTTCTTTCGCAGTTTCTTCCATTTGCCCAAATTCTTTATCTTTGCTGCCTAAGAGCAAGCAAGGACTTGTATCTTCTATTTCTTGTTTGTACCATAGTTCTTAGCAAAGTGTTCTGCATATAGTAGAAATGTAAATGCATGTTGACTTTATGAAATATGTATAGCATAATCTACATAGAAGTTAAAATTAAACTCAATGTCATTTCTATTTCCTTACTCCCCAAAATCTATACACACTGAACTGTTAAATCTGACAGTTCTTCTTAAAACACTTTTATACCCATTGTAGCTGCTAAATCGCCAGCACCAATTCCCTTACTCTGGACCCAATCATTCTATATCTTTTTTCCAGCCTCCCTGGCTCTAATTTATTAGGGGCTGACTAAAAAGTAGAGATGACATAACTCACCAGTAACATATAGTAACAACTACTCTATATTGAGTGCTTACTGTATGCACTCAATATGCTTATTGTATAGACTGTCATATGCACTTTGTAATTTAACTCATTTAATCCTCACAACAGTCCTATAAATAGGTACTAGCATCACAACTAAGAGATGAGAAAGCTGAGAATCAAAGATATTTTTTAACTTGCCTAAAGTTACATTTAGGTAAATAAGTGAACATCTGAAACCAGGTGACTAAGTCTGAAGCCTGTATTTTTATTATCCATACTACGCTGTGTCATTATCAAAATATGAAGAAAATGATTCTGCCTTTTAACGCTAAAATCAAACATCAAAACCCTGAATACAGACTTTTTTCATTAATTTGTCCTACTCTGACCTGTCTTAACTGTCACCATAGTTTTGCTTCTATATATTTGGTAAAAGTATATACACCTCACTTGTTCTGAAGATTACACTGATGACCCTTCTAAAAATACTAAAAGAATGCTACGGTTTTAGAGAAAGATTAAGTGTATCGAATAAATGAGGTTTAAGAGGAGGAGGAGGATGCTAGTTATAATGATAAGAAACACAGTCTAAACAAGCTTTTAAAGTTTTATGATTTTGTCCTGTTTTGTTTCAAATCTATACATGTGAGGCTGACTCTGCTAAATTTAAAGATGCCTATCATGCCAAATCTTGTGACAATTTAGTAACTCAAAACACGTTTATGATTTACTGGTATAATGTAAGTTGGAATAAGAGGGAAGTGAACCTTGTTAGAAACATAACCAGATATCCCCTATTCTGTAATAAAGGCTAGTAAAAACACACACTTAAAAGCTTCAGACAAAAGACCACCCAGAAGAAAGGGACTCCTAAGAAAGTGACCTCTCACTTAGCAGTCCAACAGATCCTGATAACAGCTTACAAATGCCTGAGAAATACCTGTAAAACTTTAGCATTTGGTTGAAGAGGTTTAATGATCAGCTGCTTGCCTGCCGTGTAAAGAACTTTTTCTGAATCAGGGCCCCATGCTACCGAATATACTGGTGTCCCTGTAAAAAGGAAAAGAAAATTAAAAAAAAAAAAAAAAAAAAAGAAACCAACAGATTTTCATTATTATACCTTATAATAAGAGAGCTAGTTAAGAGCAACAAAAAAGCAATATGGGGTGCCATTTCATTTCATATTCAATGGCCCTTTAAAACTGAAGGATAGCCTGATACTGAAACAAAATGAGTTAATATTGACCATTGAAAATCTACTGTAAACAACTTAAAAACTATGTTTTTAACTAATTTTGATCTTGCTGAGAAAATAGGATGGGAGTTTTTAGGAATTCAATATAGTGTGCTACTAAAATATAGAGCATAAAATAAATACACTTCATTATTTTAAGATATAAATAGCAGAAAAGTCATGATTTATCATTTCCCACCAACAGCCATCAGTGCTTAAACTGACTCAATACACAAGTTGACTTAAATTTACCATACAAAAATATAAATGGTATATTTACTTTATTAATTCCCATTCCTGAGGATAATACAGGAAATAGACCTACCACTCATCTGCTGCTTAAGCAGTTCTCTAATGGACAGAAACCATTCTACCCCAAAATGATCTACCCCCTCCTATGTATGAATTTATAAATGGCAAATTAAAAATCAGATTGAGGAAAGTTTTGCTATCTATCAAGCGGGGCTTTGGCCTCAAAGCTAGGCTAAGAAGGATTCAGATATCCCATAACCGGGATGAAGCTGACTTATACTTTTGGGGAAAAGTACATGTTTGACTCAATGTACCATTCTTTTTTTTTTTTTTTTTAAGGTTTTATTTATTTATTTGACAGACAGAGATCACAAGTAAGGCAGAGAGGTAGGCGGGGGTGCAGGGGGGAGCAGGCTCCCCACTGACCAGAGAGCCTCATGCAGGGTTCAATCCCAGCACCCTGAGATCCTGACCTGAGCCGAAGGCAGAGGCTTAACCCACTGAGCCACCCAGGCGCCCTCAATGTACCATTCTATAAACTACTTTAAACTTCATACTGTTTTCAATTTCTTAGGATAGGAATTTGGAGAAGGTATTTTTTTAACTCAATGACTTTCACATTAATATCTTCTGGAAGGCTGTACTTTATTTGAACCTAGTTTTTTAAAAAATGAGTATTATACCTGGCAAAAGCATTAAATAAGCTGTACTCCACTCTCTGACCCAGTTACCATCCATTAGGAAAGTGAATCAAGGTTACATAATTAATCTATGAAATATTAATCCATTAATATTTCTAAAGCCGCTTTCAAAAATCGTCTAGAACTCGTAAATCAGACTACTGTAGCAGTTGACTTTCTGTGAATGAATAAGACATTCTTAGTAAAATGAAATCTGAGTCTGAGGATTTATGGGTAATCAATAAGATTTAATTATTCATTTAAATGGGAAACTCAACTGATGCTAATCAACAGGAGTAATCAGTAATCAACAGGGAGTAAATTTCAGTAATGGCTTGTGCTCAAGTGGCACCCTACCTTTTTCATGCCATTTTATTCCCAATCAGAATATAATTCAGTTGTGAGCAAGTCTCAGTGGTTTAAGGAATTTAGAAAGTCTAGTTTACAACAGACCTAGAGCAAAAAAAAAAAAAAAAAAAAACAACAACCAAACAAACTCTGAAGCATGCCTTTCATGATTTAGGTTAGATAGTATATTGGGTCTAAATATGCTATTCAGTCAATTACATCTAGGATTGTTCCGTATCTGAAGAACCCACAAATGGCCAGAAGGCACTTCTTCTGCACTTGGTAAGTACATTCTCTTGGAATATTCTCTGGAAGTAGCCAGAAACTGACCTGGATTTCACAAGTAAATTGCCAAATAGAATTCAACTCTAATAAACTCCCTAGAACATGTAAATCAAAATTTCAGATATTTCAAATATGGTTCTTGATGAGTACTGGAAGGGAATAGAGGCTGAATGCTTATTTGATAGGGTGATAGAGTTATAGGTACCTTCTTTATTTCCATTATTATAGTTATAATTATTGTGCAAAAAGTAAATTAATATATTTTAATTAAGGACTATCAAATCATCCTGAATACAGTCAGTAAAATTACACTTTTCTGGGGTATACATTAAACGATGACAAACATCTACCCCCCAAGGAAATAATTCAGTAAATACAACTCCCATTGAGTTATACAGGATGTGACTCTAGCCCTTTAGTTGTGGTAAAAGGCACAGTTGGGGTATAGGATGAGGAGCTAGGGACGCTTTTGTCCTCTTTAGCATTGAATTTGTGGCCTCATTAAGTCAGCTGTGTCACCATTTCCTTGCTTATTAACCTTATAAATCTTCAGAATACTTATCTTCCCTGTTGGGACTTGGGAGTTTATTCATTTCCTGATTATAAAATATTTTTTAAACAATAATAATGTTAAAAAAACAGATATAAGAACTTATAGTATAAAACAAAATAAGATTTTAGAGGAAAAGTTAAGCCAATTCCTTTGCTGTAACATGTGGCTTTTAACCACATTTGTTTATCAAAAACAAATACGGGGGGGGGGGGGCGCCTGGGTGGCTCAGTTGGTTAAGCTGCTGCCTTCAGCTCGGTCATGGTCCCAGGGTCCTGGAATCCAGTCCCGCTTTGGGCTCCCAGCTCAGCGGAGAGCCTGCTTCTCCCTCTGCCTCCATCTGCCGCTCTGCCTACTTGTGCTCTCTCTCTCTGTCGAATAAATAAATAAAATCTTTAAAAAACAACCAAACAAGAAAACAAACAAACAAATATGGGGTTATGAGAGATAAGATTAATAGTTAAGTCCCATTAGTTCACTCTTCCTAACCACTAGTATTTAAAATGGATATAATATCAAGAACTAAGAGAGGTCTTCATTATATTCATCTCTTATATTAATAATAAAATGTTAAGTGTGAAACCACTGTATATACAAATGCTTTCTTTTCCAAAAGGAGATATACTATACAACTTCTAATTTGGGTAGTTCTGATGAACATCATTATTGAAAGTGGAAAAATTAGCTTTATAAAGAAAATAATGATTTTTATTATAATGAAATCCATCCCACTTGCATTTCAAAAACCTACAATATTTAAATTTTTTTTTTTTGAAAACATGCTTATTAAAGCATTGAATTACTCTCAGCGTTACACTTCACTTTGCAAACTCAGTATGAAAATAACAACTATAGACTTCAGGTTAAGTAAGTTTTCAACAAAAAGTTTAGCAAATTATGTAATGTTATTAATTCCAATAGTTACCAAAAAAAATGGACAAAAAAACAAAAGTAGTTTCATAATAATTAAAGAATTTCTTGCTTTTTATATTGGGAATTTTTATTTATGTTCCATTTCAGTTAAGACACTCAAAAATATCTTGTTTTTCTAACTCTGTACACTAAGATCATGTGACCTTTTTGACATTTTTTAAGAAACCACATGCACCTGGGGTTGTGTTAAATGTCAGACCCTTATCTCTCTGTAAAACAAATTATCTAAATTCTTTCAACCTGTTGAAGGCATTTTAAACCACAGAAGAGGAGACAAAAATGTATTTCAATTGTTTTAAGGAAGTACATGGTCAAATATACCATGTTTTTCACAGTCATACTAAAAAGTAGCCCCTAAAAATGTTTTTGCATGTTTTTAAGAATGCTTTTGAAACAAACTCTTCACTATCACAATGAAGTATAAGCTATCTTTGCCTTGAATGCAATATAAGTCTACACTGGGGGAATATAGGTAAAGTACATAGAGCAGAGTTTGATACTATATAAGCACTATCTATTAACTACCACTACTAGAAATCACTTTGTAATGCAATAAGCAACTAGCTGTTTATTGTGTTGCTCATGATAGTAGGAACCCAACTTTTTTTTCGATTGCCAAATCATCAAGAATTAAAAAGCCAAGAATTATTTCCCTTTCATTCTATTTGTAGGGACATATATTAACAGTAAGCAATCAAGTAGGATTTATTCCACAAAAAAGCAACTTTTTGGTTGTATATGTTCTTGGATTAGCAAAGAGAAAAGGCTTAAATGAATGCATTTGTATCTCTAGTTTTTATCCTCAGCCACTTATCCCTTGGCGATCACAACTTCCCCTATAGCTTCACCTTTCACCTTTCTATAATTGACTCTCACATTATTTCAGCTTTACTTCTGAGCCCTAACACAGTACTTCTACTTACACCAAAGACTTCAGACTCTACACATTCAAAACTATCATCCCTCTACACAGAACCCCTCATTAATTCTTCTTTCTGAATTCTTTACCTCTTATAGGATATCCATTCCTGTCAACTACTAAGAACTATTCACTTTTTTCAACTATCATTACTGTCTCTGTTCAAGCCTCAATGCACACTAGCATAGAACATTCCAGTAACCTCCTTACTGGTCACCCCCATTTTTTCATTTTATTTTTTCGTTATTATTATTTTTAATTTTTTTACTGTAACTGACACACAACGTTACATTAGTTCCAGGTGTACAACACAATATTTCTCTATATATTATGCTATGTTCACCCCAACTGTAGCTGCCATCTATCATCATATAACACTATTATAGTATCATTGACTATATTCCCAATGCTATGCCTTAGACTCTGGTGCTTATTCATTCATAACTGGAAGTCTGTATTTCCCACTTCCCTTCAACCATTCTGCCCACCCCCACACCCTCTTTTGTCTAGCAATCATCAGTTTCTTCTGTACATTTACAGGTCAGATTCTTCTTTTTGCTTACTCATTTGTTTTTAGATCCCACATATAAGTGAAATCATATGGTATTTGTCTTTTTCTGCCTGACTTACCTCACTTAACATAATACCCTCCAGGTCCATCCATGTTGTCTCAAGTGATATGACCTCATCCTTTTTAATGGCTGTGTAATATTCCATTGTACATTTTTACCACATTTTCTTTATCTATTCTTCTATTGATGGACACTTAGGTTGCTTCTATATCTTGACTATTGTAAACAATGCTGCAGTAAACAGGGGTGCATATATCTTTTTGAATTAGTGTTTTCATTTTCTTTGGGAAAATACCCAGTAGTAGAATTACTGGATCATACAATGTTTCTGTTTTTAAGAGGAACCTCCAAACTATTTTCCACAGTGGCTGTATTAACTTAGACCACCATGCATGAGGATTCCTTGTTCACCACATCTTCACTAACACTTGTTGTTTTTTGTCTTTTTTTATTTTAGCCATTCTGACAGATGTAAGGTGCTATCCTATTGTGGTTTTGAATTGCATTTCCCTGATAGTCAGTGATGTTCAGATCTTTTCATGTGTCTATTGCTGGCCACCCCATTTAATCTCTATTTCTTCTGATTTATCCTACATATTACTGCTAAGTTTATGTTCCTAAGAGATAGTTTTTATCTCTTATTCTTCTGTTTATTTTTTTAAGGTTTGGTATGCTCATAAAACAAAATCAAAACCCTTCATTTAGCATCCAATGTCATCAATGTCTTGGTCCCTTTGGATATACAGCCTCATACAGCCTGCCCTCTGGCCCAAAGGGTCTGCTCCTATACACCTGATTTCCCTACCTTATGTTGTTCTGTCTCTATGCCTTTGACCACCTAACTTCCTCCACAGCTCTACTCCATTGTTAACAAGCCCATTTCCTTCCCTACTTTCTTTATCTTTTAAAGCTCATTCAAAAGATATTCCAAGGGCACCTGGGTGGCTCAGTCAGTTGAGTATCCACCTCTTGGTTTCAGCTCAGGTCATGATCTCAGAGTTGTGAGATCAAGCCCCCCATATCAGGCTCTGCACTAGAAATGGAGTTCACTTAAGATTCATTCTCTCCTTTCCCATACCCCTCTCTAAAAAAAAAAAAAAAAAAAAAAAAAAAAAAAGATATTCTGATATTTGCCAGGAAGCCTTTCTGATACTTCCTTTCCCTCCAAAGCAATAATCTCTGCTTTCCTATCCTCTCACAGCACCTTTGTAATAACAAAAACATCCTGCCTATGCTACAGTTATTTATATTTCCAATTCACCTCCTTTACTAAATTCACTATTTAGTTATTTAGACAGGTTCCATTTTTGTCATTCCATTCTTCCATTTGAATATAATGTGGGGGAAATATCCTCAAAGGTTTGCAGTATTACTCTATTCCAATTTTAGCCTATAATTAAAATACACAAAGCTTAATTATAATTACCCCTGGCCCATACACTATTTTTCTCTAATAAGGAAAAATAACTCCTCATAAGTACCAGTAGGAACTGTTTTTAAACTAAGTCAAATTAAAAAAAAAATTTAAAAACTTGGGATTAATGCTTTTCCTATATTAGAGGAGAAGGTGATGACGATGACTTCTATCTATATATCCATCTCCAATCATTAAGAAATGAATTAAGGGTGTGCCTGGGTGGCTCAGTCAACTAAGTGTCCAACTCTTGATTTCAGCTCAGGTCATGATCTCATGGGATGTGAGAGAGAGTCCTATGACAGGCTCCACCCTCAGCAGAGTCTGCTTAAAGATTCTCTCCCTCTCCCCCAACTCATGTGAATGTGCTCTCTCTAAAATAAATAAATAAATCTTTAAAAATAAATAAATAAAATATCTATTTCTAAAAAAAAAGAAATGAATTCAGGAAATTTTTTCTATTCATCAAAAATAAATGCAATTAATATAAACATGTAGTAAAAATCACTAGGATGCTTTCAACATTATTTACTGAATTCCAAGTGTTACAATAACTCAGGTTTATGTTATTTCATTTTTTTGCCAAAATTTACAGTTTTTCCCCCTAAAAGAGGCAGAAGTCCCCTTCCCCACCTATTCTGGCCTCATTTGAGTCTTTAGCATCCAGCTATCAGTAGTTCATTATCACCATCAAAAATTATAGCTTTTAATAAATCAAATAAAACTTATAAATAACCAGAGATTTTTCCTTCAGGGTTAATATCATCATAACTTAATTTTTCCAATGCTTTTCCCCAGAGATGAAATAGGAAAAGTCTATGCCTTATTAGGAAAGCGTGGGTGGCACCAACAATCAAAAACCTAAAAATCAGATGCATAGTTCTATAGTAAATCTGCAATTCTTAATCCAAAGATATCTGATTATCTTGAAATATCAACAGGTTAACTAAAATATGAAAATCTATATAATTTAATTTTGCTCATTAATCTCATACTTAATATAAACCTCAAGTGAGGAGAATAAATAAGATTCAAATGAGATAAAAATGATAAGCCCTTTCACAGTCATTTGATGTTAAGAAAATTACAGCTATTTGGAATGTCAATGGAAAATATCATTATACGATGTGATGAAGACATAATAAAATTACCTTTATCATATGACCTAATCAGTATTTTAGCTTTCTAAGGGAATTTATTTACCCATCTATTTGGAAGGAAGGAAAAAAAAAATTAAAAAGAGTACCACCCATTCCTCTCTAAAATAAACATCATACACAAAAACTAACTCAAAATGGATTGTAGACCTAAATGTAAACACTGAAACTATAAAACTCTTGGAAGAAAATAAAGGTCTAAATCCTCGTGACTTTGGATTAGGCAATGGTTTCTTAGATATGACCCCAAAAGCAGAAGCAATCAGAGAAAAAAATGGATAAATGAATCTCATCAACATTTTTACTACTACCAGGTATTTATGTTTACCTAGAAAAGTACTACCCAGTGTTTATGGTTACCCTTTGCTAAAATTTGGTTAATGGGTAGCTAAAGAAATGTAACTATTTTAACACTATCTTAAGAGTAAACGTGACTTAAAAAATGAAATCTGGGGGTGCCTAGGTGGTTCAGTCGGTTAGTATCTGCCTTCAGCTCTGTTAAGATCCCGGGGTCCTGGGATGGAGCCCCAAACTGGGCTCCCTGCTCTGCGGGGAGCCTGCTTCTCCCTCTCCCTCTGCCTGTTGTTCCCCCTACTTGTGCTCTCTCTCTCTCCGTCAAATAAATTTTTAAAAAATCATTAAAAAAATTTTTTTAAATGAAATCTGGAAATTTTTGGAAGTCAGTTACCAGAGATGCTTCACAATATAACTTGATTATATAATTCTCAAGAATAGTCTGCCATCTTTGAAGACCAGCTGATACATGTTCAGTTAAACATGAAAACTGCTTTACTATTCCTACATAAAAATCTAATTAGTAAAATAGATCTGCTATACACACACAAATAATTGTATGTAACCTAAATCTCAACAGGAATGACCACTGAAATGACTTTATGGGCACTTCCTTCCAATTAACATGGAAAACTGAGATGCTTCTCTAAGCAGTTGCAGTTTACCATGTTTTGGACCATCAGGGTATCTGCTCCCCTCCAGTACCAAACATACAATACAATTTATTTTTTTTATTTTGTTAGTCACCATATAGTACATCATTAGTTTTTGGTGTAGTACAGTTTAGAAAGGATGGTAATATTATGAAGTTATTAGGACTTTTTAAGTAGGGAGTTACTCCTAATGTTTCTATTACTATTATTTACTTAAGTAGACATTCAATCCTATTCCAGATAGTATATGCTCATAAGGATTCAGAATTATTTTTAAAAGAATCATCAGCCTTTAACTACATTTATACAGACTTACTAAAAAAGAAAAAAGGCCTTGAGTGTTTCTTGTACTTCTTGGCTCAAATAACACAGTTACCACGGTTTATCAGGCAACATGGAAAGTAAGAGGAAAAAGTATAAACAGAAATAAGAGGTGCGCCTGAGTGGCTCCGTTGTTAAGAGTCTGCATTTGGCTCAGGTCATGATCCTAGTGTCCTGGGCTCCAGTCCCGCATTGGGCTCCCTGCTTGGTGGAACTCTACTTCTCCCTCTCCCACTCCCACTTACCCTGCTTGCATTCCCTCTTTCGCTATGTCTCTGTCAAATAAATAAATAAAATCTTTAAAAAAGTAAAAGAAAAAGAAATAAGAGACTTCAGGGTGCTGGGTGCCTCAGCTGGTTAAGCATTCAACTCTTTTCAGCTTAGGTCATGATCTCCGGGACATGAGATCAAGTCCTGCGTTGAGTTCCCCACTCAGTGGAGTCTGCTTGAGAATCTCTCTTCCCCCCGCACACCCCTCCCCACTCATGTGCATTCTCTCACTCCCTCTCAAATAAATAAATAAAATCTTAGAAAAAAAAGAGAGAGATTTCAGGCTTTGAACCTTACCTAAATCAGTCTTAGGAACTCTAATAGTCTTTAAAGGGAATTATTAAGATATCTTAATTGATTAATATACGTACCTTGCTGAGCCAAAGTTGATCTCAGCATCCCAGTCTTTGACCAGATTTTTATTTGTCCATCTTCTCCAACTATAAAGAGAAAAATAATTGATATTTTTATCTATAGGAAATAAATTTAAACATTAAATTTGCATAGAAAAATCAGTTTATCTACACTAAGACATATTTAAAATACAGACACAATTTATTCATTAAATAACAGTGCTTCATAACTGTAAAATTTAATTGAAATTACTTTGAAAAAATTTTATCAGATTCTCCTAACTTCCATGTCAAAAATTTTTATTTTTTCCTTTAATCTTAGGAGATTTGTGAGTATATTATTCAACTAATACTTTCATTTTCACTGAAATTTCCATCCTAGAATTCTAAGAAAAGTGCTTTCATTGCAATAAGAAGAGTTGCAGGCAAATTCCAGTGAGTTGGGGACTGAATGGAGTGAAGTAGTAGACTTTTCTTTTGAACAACTTGCTTAAAAGAAGAAAGAAAGAAAGAAAGAAAGAAAGAAAGAAAGAAAGAAGGAAAGAAAGAAAGAAAGAATTCTCTAGAGAGAATCATTTGTTAAAGGCAGGATTTTTATTTCATTTCTTCTCAATTTTCAAGATGGATGACATCTGGACATATTTATATGCTGAAAAAGAAACAACTGGAAAAGGACAAGTTAAAAAAATAGGCAGGAGAGGAAACAGTTCACTGAACAAAGCCCTAAAGAAAGTCCAGAGGATAGGTTGGTGGTTTGATTACATATCCGTAAACTTTTTGTTATTCCTCCTTTTGATAGGTGGAGCTTAATTTCTCTTCTTTGGGCTACATTTAGTGACTTGCTTCTAATAGGATATGGTTGAAATGATGGAGTATGACTTTCAAGGGTGGGTCATAAAATATATTGTACCTACCATTTTTCTCTCTCGGATCACTCCCTTATGAAGCCTACAATTATGTTGTTAGACCATTCAAGCAGCCCTATGGAGAAGCCCTTGTAAGAACCAAGGCCTCCTGCCAACAGTCAGAGAGGAACTAAGATCTCTTGCCAAGAGCATATGAGTGAGCCATCTTGGAAGCAGAACCTCCAACCCCAATCAAGTCTTCACACGACTGCAGCCCTATCCAACGTCTTGAGTCTGAGACAGAACCAGCCAGCTAAATTAAATTGTTCCCTGATCTACAGAAACTATAAGATAATACATGTTTATTATCTTAAGCCATTACCTTTTGGGGTAATTTGTTAGACATCATTAGATAGCTAATAGCATAGATGAAGATGAGAATGCTTATGAGAATAGGGCAGGAGATGGGAGAGTGAAGGAATGGGGGTAAAGGTCAATTAAACATTTTGAATTTTAACATGTTAAAGAATTACAACTTTTATTTACCCCATAAGTGACCACTTCAAAAGCCTTGACAAAAATATTGTCTGTAAGTCATATATGAAATCTAATAAAATGACATTCTGAATTATAACATTATCTAGAAGCCCAGTTCAATGCTGTGCCAATTATTTGCTCTTGGACAATGAAAGACACTATTACTAAAGAAAATATTCTGATTCTGTGAAAATTTTTCTTTAAACAGTTCATTTAAAACATCATTTTTGCAGACAACGTACCTGTAACTAATGCTGTTCCTTCATAATTCCATCTTCCTGCAAGAACTGCTCCACAGTGAGCTTCTACACTTTTTTCCACTCTTCCTAACTTAGAAATCAGATGAAATTTACCTAAAAGAAATTAAACTTGAGAAATCTATTTGAATTTATTCAATCAATAAATATCTCTTAAACAGGTTATCTTCTCCTAGACTAGTTAGCACAGTGCTAGGCACTGGAGACATAAGGACAAATAATATTCCTACTCAAATAATTGTTTGCTCCCAAAGAAAAACAATATTCCTACTCAAATAATTGTTTGCTCCCAAAGAAAAAACAAATCTATTGGAAAATAGGCACAAAAATGAAATTATAAAACACTGAAACAAGTGATGTAATAGAAGTATTATATGATGCTATCATAGATGAGAGGGACAATAGAACTCCACTGGGATATGGTCAAAGGGGCCAAGAGAAATGCCAAGAAAACCTTCTAATTAAGCAGAGTTTTGTGGCCTTCCTTTTTTTTTTGCAGGCTATAGAAAAGCTGGAAAAGGTATAGAAGACAGGAACCAGGACAGTCAAAAGGTGTTAAAAAATAAACTGAAGCAGGGGCACTGGTGTGGCTCAGTCTGTTAAGTATCTGACTCTTGATTTCAGCTCAGGTCATGATCTCAGGGCAGTAAGATCCGGCTCCATGTTGGGCATGGAGTATGTTAAGATTCTCCCTTTCTTACCCTCCTCCCCACCTCTCTCATTAAAAAATATATAAAAAAATAAAAAAATACATATTTTTTTCTCCTTCCCTCTGCCCCTCCCCTCTTCTCTCTCTAAAAATAAAAAATTAAAAAAAATAAACTGAGGCCTGACAAAAAATTTTAAGAGTTTGAGCAAAAATCTTCCAAATGGGTTGCACTAAGCCAAAAGTGGTAAAGAACGTTTCACCAACAGGAGCTGAGGCAGAGACTTTTATAGAGCAAAGGTAGAAACAAAGTGAGGAAATTATTGATTGGCTTTAGCCTATGGCTTAGTTGGCTGTTTGTGACTGGTTATCCTTAGGTTTTAATTTCAAAACCTTGACGTGTTTACAGGCAGATTTTGGTTTGCTCATGCTGGCCTAAGGCATAGGACCACCTCTGTTTAATGGCCTTGTTGTTTACTTAATTTAACAATCGATAATTCCAAATTTTAAAATACTTGCCTCATACGATTTTATACTGTGCCAGGCACTAGCTAGACAAAAAGGAGCAGGCTACCTGATTGCTATTCTCAAAAAGTTCACACATATATAGGTAAAAAGCACAACTTTTTAAACTTACAACTTTAAAGTACTTAAGAAATATCAAGGGGACAAATCAACTGTGCAAAGAATAAAGTGTTACAGAAAGCTGAGGAAAAGGGGGGCCCACGTCGCTCCATCTGTGCCTTCAACTTGGGTCATGATCTCAGGATCTTCAGAATGAACCCTGCATGGGGCCCCCTGCTCAACGGGGAGCCTGCTTCTCCCTCTGCCTGCCACTCCCCCTGCTTGTGCTCTCTCTTGCTGACAAATAAATAAATATCTTTTTTAAAAAAAGCTGAGAGAAGATCATGAAATAATATGGGTTTGAATAATCATGAAATCTAGTAATACATAGCTCATAATAATTAAGTACAGTAAAATTAGAAATTTCCCACAAATCAATCTATCATCAGTCATCTGTCTTACAGTAAAAAAAATCACGTGGCTAATCAAATTTTGGCGTCAGAGAATTTACTTTGAATACACTTTTAACTGAAGACTTTTCCAGACTGTCGAAATATTAACAATTCACTAAAAATATATCTAAGTCAGGGGCACCTGGGTGGCTCTGTAGGTTAAGTGTTTGCCTCATCTCAGGTGATGATCCCGGGGTCATGCGATCAAGGCCCGTGACAGGCTCTCTGCTCAGTGTGGGGGCGTATGCTTCTGGCACTGCCTCCCTCTGCTCATGCTCTCTCTCTCAAATAAATGAATAAAATCTTAAAGTAAATAACTATTTATCTATATATCTAAGTCAGATGCTTGAGATAGCTTTAAGACATTTCTCTGGAAGACTCTAATACAGATGGCTTTGAAACATTTAACACCTAGCACCCTGTGGTTACTTCACTAACCATCTACCCATTCTTACCAACAAAGTAATTCCGTCTTTTTTACACTGTGAGCATTATTTGCACCTCTGTTACAGCATTTTTTTTACTGGGCTGTGATCTCTATCAGGGCAGGGGGCCATGTCTTAGTCATATTTTTATTTGCAGTAGTGCTTTTACATAATCAGTACTTGTTAAATTTGACCAACTGGGTAACCATCTCCTAACTTGAAAAAAAAGAAAAAAAGACATGCTGACATTCTTTTTTTTTTTTTTTTCTCATTCCATCTAATAGCTTTCTTTTCTCACCATTCATTTTTTAGGCCTAAAATAAGCTACCCTTTTCCTTCATCTAACTACCCACTAGCAGCAACTACTTTCCCCCATACCTTTCCTTTTAACTTTTTATTTATTGCTAGGTCACTTTTTTTTTTTAAAGATTTATTTATTTGACAGAGATCACAAGCAGGCAGAGAGGCAGGCAGAGAGAGAGGAGGAAGCAGGCTCCCCGCCAAGCAGAGAGCCCGATGCGGGGCTCGACCCCAGGACCCCGAGATCATGACCTGAGCCAAAGGCAGCGGCTCAACCCACTGAGCCACCCAGGCGCCCCTTTGAATGAAATAAAATTACTTTAAATTCAACTGTTATTATTATCTTCATTGAACTAACTTGAAATTAACTGGGATATGCTTTTTTAAATCAGTTGCTTTACAGAGAAAATGTAAGGGGGAAAAATCTCAAAAGAGGAAACTGTAAAGATGACATACAGTAAGTGGAAAGCTAATCCTGTGGTCATTGTTTACTTTATTGAGGTCTGTTCTCACTAAATGTTAGCACATTGCCTAACACAGAATATCCACGTAATAAACATAATTGCATATAATTGCATATATATAATATATATTATATTGTATTAATATATGTCACAATATATATTATATTGCATATAAACTGTTGCATATAATGCATGAATCCATCACCAAAGAGATTAACCAAATATCTCTTAAACCAGAAATGAAGGATCCAGAAATTTCCTTTCAATCTATTCCATATTTGAGAAATTTTATGTATTTAGATTATTTATATTTCTTATCCTAAAATATCTAATACTGATTTTCTGACAAATGCTAAAATTATTCTTGCTTCCTATGACCTCACATAGGAAGATTATACTGGGACAGCTAGGGTCAGCTCTTTGCATAGATTTGGCACTCAATAAATCTTTGGCCTTTGTATTTTGTCTGATTACAGATTACAAGAATAGCACACCCAGAATAAACCAAAAATATAAAACTATATATATATATATATCAAATATTTTTATTTTTTATTTAAAAAAATTTTTTTAAGTAGGATCCACACCCAATGCAGGGCTTGAACCCAGGACCTTGAGATCAAGAGTCACAAGCTCTACTGACTGAGCCAGCCAGGTGCCCCCACATAACAAATATTTTTAAGCCCATAATTATCCATTTAACTATTTTCTTTCTTCTCTCCAAATTTTCTATAATCTTTTAAAAATGCAAGACCCAAATACAGATCAATTTATTTCTAATTATTTGCTAGGGCTGGGGTAGAGAAGAGAATATAATCAATATGGTTATATTAATTATTAATTTATTGAACAAAAAAGCAGATTTGGATATTTAAATCCTAAGGTGAAAAATTAACCTGCTGCTCATTAAAAAAAAATAACTTTTTATAAAGAGGGATATGTTATAAAAGAGAAAAAGAACAGAGAAAACATTAAAATTATATAAAACACATTTCTTAAAGTTAGAAATGCCTTAGCAGATGTCCGTGGAAACATGAAAGGGCTTGGAATAGGGTGTTAGGAAAAAGGACACACGAGCACTTTTGCAGACTGCTTAATAGCAGAAATGATTTGGCAGATGGTTGCAAAAAGCCAGAGATCTATAACCAACCACCAACTTATGATAAAAGAAATGAACACACAAATTCTTTTTAAAGTGGGATTTTAAAATAGACATATTAAGAAAATAAGAGAATTATTTTAAGATATCTAATACAATGTATTTAAAAAAATCATCTTTCAGTAAATATAATTTAAGGAGTACTTAACAGTTTTACAGAAGATTTTATACCAGAAGTCCCCTAATGTATTTTACATAATTCAATTATTTTTTAAATGTAAATCTTTTAATACATTGTCAAATATCTTTTCTAAAAAGTAGTATACAGCTGATGAAATATTCAAAAAGTAATGTTGGAGAGAATTATTGGTAAGACAAAACACTTGGCAAAAGTCTGCCTTATATATTTAAAAGGACTACCACCAGATCTCAGGGATCTCTTTTGGAATGTTACCACTACACAGGAGAGGGAGGGGGTATGATGAAAAAACACTGGAAGAGAAAGAAGAACTCCAAAACTGCAACCCTTCTCTGCCAACACTGGGAGAGAAAAATCAAGAGGAGAAAGTTGGTGGCAACTAGAAAAGAGAAACTCCTGAGCAGTAAATTAAATTTTGAGGAAAAATTTTTTTTTTAATTGGGTTAACATCATACAAAATGAAAAAGTCCTAGAGATCTGCTGTACAAATATTGTGCTTATAGTTAACAATACCACACTGTATATTTAAAAACTTGTTAACAGGGCAGAACTCATGTTATGTATTTTTTAAACCAGAATAGTATTAAGTATTGGGTTAACAAATAATATAGCTCTGATACATAAAATAACTTGAAATGTTTATCTGACAGAAAAGCCCTTGACTACCTCCCAGTGACAGCTACTTTCTTCTTTCTTGAACATTTCTTTTTCATTTCTGGATGCTTTTTTCTATCTTATCCTTCCATTTCTTTTCTTCGATCTAATATACTTTTCCCTCTTTTACAAACCCCGATACTCCTCATCCTAGCTTAAAAGAAAATACCCAAATATTCTGTTTTGGTTCTCACATCTTCCCACATCTAGATGTGGCATGTAATGTTATTTGTTTTATTAATAGAGTGAACTTAAAAATAAAATTGAACATTATAGTTTCTGAAGAGTCATAATATATTTATACTTATAGATTTATATAAATCTCACAAATTTAACTTTTAAGTTACATTTTTACATTAAAATATTTCCCTCACAGAAAGTGTTTTCTCTAACACCAATTTGAAATAGAGACTCAAGCAATTATTCTTTAGTTGAGTGTAATTAAGTGATCTTAACTCAGAGAGACACTCAGACAACAAAAATTATCAAGACTAATTATATTTATTTATTTATTATATTTATTATTATTTATTTATTATATTTATTGTCCATATTCATCAGATAGAAAGTTAATTCTTAAATACTACTGAGTTTAAAAAGGAAAATGCAAATAAAATATATGTTATATCACCTTCTGTGAAATACAAAAGGTGAAATGAGAAAATATGCATGTATCTGCTTACTTTGCCAAAAGAAACACAGAAAGGATAAACCAGAACCAAAGAGATTGTTTATCTACAGGGAGTAAACAGAAATAAGGTGTATAGGATTGGGTAGGTAGGAATAGTGACATTGCTCTGAGTATACTTTTTTTTTTTTTTAAGATTTTATTTATTCATTTGAGAAAGAGAGACCCAGAGAGAGAGAGAGAGAGCATGAGCAGTGGAGACAGGCAGAGGCTGAGGGAGAAGCAGACTCCCTGCTGAGCTGGGAGCCCCGTGTGGGGCTCAATCCCAGAACCTTGGGATCACAATCCGAGCCTAAGGCAGATGCTTAACCATCTGAGCCAGCCAGGCGCCCCTAAGTATGCTTTTTAAATATAGCTTTGTCTTTGTATTTTGTCTATGGTTTTTAATATAATTTTGTCTTTAATATAGTTTTGTCATGTTACTATTTTACATATTCAGAACATAATCAAATCAACAAGGATGGGGGACAATGGAAACCTTAAGTAGAAAACACAATATAATACATTTAACTGTGAATAACGTAACAGTTAAGGAAGGGGAAATGCAAGTAACTTTTGAACACAGGACTTTAACTCCATATATTCAGTATAAAGATCAAAACAAAAGTAAACAAATATTAAACTCTAGTTTTTTGCAGTAGTATAGATTAGCCATTCTGAAACAACTTCCTTTGTATTGCAGAATTGAGCAAGTGAGCAAATATATTTGAGAATAATGGGAGCCAGGCTCACTCACTGTTTCCAAATATGGAAAAAAGAAAGACTGGAATTAACCCTGTAATGTTGAATTGGTGGCATCAGAATGAACTCATGATTTTTAGTATGGAAAGGAAGGAAGGAGAAGTGGAAGAAAGAAAAGGGAAGAAAAGAAAACAGAGGGAAGGACAGGAGAAAGAGAAAAAGAAATAGCTGTAGATATGTATGTTCTTTAAATGGAATATAATATATTCCATTTCTTAGCTCTCTTAAAGGACCTTGAAGCAAACACACCTCATTGAAATGAGCTTGTTAGCATTCTCATATTGTTTTTAAAATACCAGAAAGCACCAAGAAAAGAACAGATCTCCTTGGAGAAATGGATAATTTGGGGGGCTGGATTGGGAAAGTGCAAGGTAAGACTGAACATCTTGTGCCAGCAAAGCAGTGCTCAAAAAATGATGAGGAAACATTATCCCACCCACCCACCCCCAAAAATTCATAGGAGCTGGCTTAATGGGGCTCCACTAGACAAAGCTGGGACAATTTTCACAACAAAATAAAAAAATTACAGAAATAAAATAAAGAATCTATGAGTCTAATCTGATGTAAGTAAACAAATAAATGGGTAGGAAAAGAGAGGCTCTTCCGTGCAGCAGAATACCAACTAATCAATATGGAAGGAATTATGGAATTTAAAAAAAAATCACCATTTGGCAACCATGTGAATAATAAATGATTCAGCCGAATATCAACAATAGATGCTAAAATAGTAGGTGGAATTTTAAGGAGGAAGAGAATATTTTTACATAGCCTGAAAGTATTTGTTCACAAATTATTTATTAAAACGTAAAAATAGTAACTTCACAGTGGATTACTTTAGTGAATACAACCTTTCAAAGTAATCAAAGTTAACATCACCAATAATTGATCAAACCAGCATCGTGAACCTCGCAATCTGATGCCCTAATTAGTGCTGCTAAAAACTGTGTACACTGAAGCTAATTATAAGAAAATATCATACAAACACAAATTGAGGGACATTCTATAAAGAAAAAACAGATCTGTATTCTTCAAACCTATTAGGATCATAAAAGAAAGAGGAAACTATACTAAAGGAGGTTAGAGAGATATGACAAAAGCAGTGCGTTATTCTGTACCAGAAAAAAAACAAATTTCTATAAAAGATGTTATTAGGGCCCTTGTTAAAATTTGAATATTAACTGTATATTCAATTTAACATCAATGTTAAATTTCCTGATTTTGACCAATGTACTGTGATTATATAACAGAAAATCCTCACCCTTGAGAAGTGCACTGAAGTATTTATGGTAAAAGGGGCATGTTGCATGTCTATAAATGATCCTTAATACTTAGGGGAAAAAAAGTATGTGTGTGTGTGTATGTGCGGGTATATGTGTAGTGAGGTGGGGGAGAGAGAAGGAGAAAGCCAATGATAAAGTATATGGGACAAAATGTTAACAGGAAATGAATTTGGATAAAGGATACACAGGAGTTATTTCTACAATTCTTACACACTTTCTGCAAATGTGAAATTATATCAAAGTTAAAAGTTTTTTGTTTTTTTTTTTTAAAGTCAACCCTTCATTTTAACATTTTAATGTTAAAATGAAGGGTTGACTTTAAATACTTAGGGGAAAAAAAGTATGTGTGTGTGTATGTGCGTGTATATTCTAGCAGTGGTTCAGAGTCAATCTTCTAAGTCCAATTACTTTCACACAATATTTCATTTAATCAAGATTCAGAAAAATACGGTTAAAAAAAAAACCATCCTAAGTTCTGTCTGTAAAAGAAGTGAAATCTGATTTGATACTTTGTCATCACATCCCTTCCCTGTTCTTGTTACAAAAGCCCTCTTCTCTTTCTTTCCTTTTCCACGGTGGCCTGAGGCCAGTTGTGTTCAGTCAATCAGTGTCCTATTCCCATGACTATAGTGATTCTTTCATTAGCACAGGACACAAGTTTCCCCAGGACTCCCCTGCAACTTGTCTGCAAGAGATACTGAGGAAGCACTCTCTGCTGACATTTCTTCTCTACGGATGAGCCTTGAGCTACTGGCTGCCATCATGCTCACCTTGTAGGGAGAACCCATCTAAGAGATGATGAGAACAGGGGCCTAATTGCAGCTGTGCTTGAAGATCCACCCCTAGAGTTAGGTGAACCAAAAAACTCCATCTGTGCATAAGTTAGTCAAGTAAGTTTCCATTACTTTTGATGAATGTATTTTTAATTGACAAAGTAGGTAAAGTGTAATACAAACAAAAGCAGTTCAAGTTATTTCAATGAAAATAAAAACATTTCCTCAAAAAGTAGGAAAATCATGCTTTTTACTCACCAGTAATAAAGCTACAGTCAAATTAAACAAAACTCCAACTCTGTTGAGTGGAAATTAACATGTAACAGAAAATAAAGACAATATTAGGGGCGCCTGGGTGGCTCAGTCAGTTAAGCGTTTGCCTTGGGCTTAGGTCGTGAATCTGGGGTCCTGGGATTGAGTCCCACATTGGGCTCCCTGCTCACCGTGGAGTCTGCTTCTCCCTCTGCCCTTCCCCCTCTGCTCATGATCTCTCACACTCTCTTTCAAATAAATAAATAAAATCTTTAAAAAAAAGAAAAGAAAGATAATATTAAATAGCTTATTAAATGTTGCATTGTGCCCATATTTTTTGTGTGTGTCCATATTTTTTTTAGTGTGTTTGTTATAAAGTTAAATTCAAAACCAAAACTGGTAACAGCTTAACAACTATTTTCAGTGAGATCACAGAAAAAGTAAAGCTGAAAGCTCAGATCAAATCCCATGATATGCCAGCTTTACTTTCTCCCATGACAACAGTTTTTTTTTTTCCCCATGACAACAGTTTTATAGCCTATACACAAAGCAAATGACTACAAAGAATATGGATTAAATGTGTAGACAGAGGTATGCAGATCTACAAATATCAGCTCTGTAAAACAACTAAAAGCGTAAGTCACACTAATATGTCTTTTAAATACAAAGATGAGCATACAACATTTATTAAAAACTTACCATCAGAACTTGTGAGGACAAAGCTTTCTGCTTGAGTTTGTTTCTTTATGCCTAAACTTTTTGGAAACCAGTGAAGATCTATTGGGTAAATATCATCGGGAAGCTTTACTATTTGACTTGTTTCACTGGTTAGCAAGTTCCACTTCACTATCTGGTGATCATCACTACATGAATACAGTTCTTCAGCCGTAGTCCAGCCCACACAGCTTACTAATTCTTGATGTGTCACCATGTTAAGGAGACACACAAAAACCTTAAATCATAATAAAATAATTTGCAGATGCAGATTATAGGAAAAAGATAAAATAGAGTCAAATGTTTCAAGTTTCTAAATACATTTTCATTTCATGACTTTCATATTTTTTCCATATAAAGGAAAATAAGCATCTATCAACACAATTGCAAGAAGAATGGAAAGCAAGAATCCACATGCCAAAAGAGAAAAAAAAGAAAGATCTGACAACATGAAAAATTTTAAATTTTGTTACAAAAGATTCCATAAATAAGGCCAGAAGATACACAAAGACATTTAACAGATCAAAAGGTATGAAAGGATATACACTAAACTGTTGGGGGACAGGTGAGAATAAGGAACTGTAATTTTTAAATCTATATAGATCTATATCATATTAGAAGAAATATGTATTATTTTGATAAGTTAAAAAATTCAAGTGTTAAAAGAAGACCGAAATCTAACAGTAAAATACCTGCTTAAATCACATATTATAATAACAATTTACCTAGGAAAAAACCTACAGCCTACCTGCCAAAATAAAATCTTAACCAAACTTTTTGACATTAAACCCAGGAAACAATTCAATTATAATTTACAGCACCTACATGATGCATAGCACTGGATAAGATATGAACCCTAAAATTCCTACTTTATTTAACCCATTTTTTTCGGCCTCTGATTTATCAGGAGGATTTCTATAAATTGAGGAGCTCAGGTAGCCCTCTGTTCCTCCATCAGAACAGGCTGCTTACCCTAGCAGAACTGTGTATAAAGAGAAGGCATTTCAGTTTGTCATTTAAGAGAAACCTTTCTCTTTCATATATCTGGGTATCTGTATTACCAGATCATTCCTAGTTGGGTTATTTGTTCTCTTGCTATTTTGTATAATCCTTTTACCTCCTCCTCTTCTCACTAGTGCTTTTTATTGGCTTTTCTGAACAATCAATAAACTCCAAGGAAAAAGAAACAATGTGCTATAATTATTCTGGAATGTTCTAAGATTTAATACTTCAAAATGACAGCGTAAGCAAATAACCAAAAGGTAAAAGAGAAATTATAGGAAGATCTTTAGAGTCTTCAAAAATAGATAACACAGTAGCATTGGAATATTCAACATATAAGCTAAACAAAAGGGCCTGGATATCACAAGACCATTACTAAAAAAACTGTTCCAATATAATTGCTATGGTCTAAATAATGTTAGATAAAACGTAACATTTGGAAGGGAGAATGTTAGATAAAACCAAGAAAGGAAGAAAATACACAAAAACAGCACACCATTCCAAAACAAAAACATTAAGTTTATCCTTGTATAAATTGCTGTAAGTGCACATCAGATGTGTGTGATAGATCTTTAGCCTAACGGGTCAACTAAGAATACGGGAGAAATGAGGGGACTGACAGATTCAGAAAGTTTAAAAAACTGTTATACTTCAACTTGAAAAGGTAAAAGCAGACTACAGACAGAGTCAAAATCTGTTAAGACTGTATGGCATGAACTCTTGAGAGAACACTTTGAAAAGACAGTAAAAAGGATTTAAGGAGAAATCAAAGGAATTCTATTTCACTCAATAGGTTAAATAAGCAGGATAGTATAAATTTTAAAAATTTGATCAAATACCTAAACAGTGCTTTGCTATCTCTGATGAAGGACCACATTTTTCTCTATTTCAAATCTGTATCTTATAAGATAAAATAAAAATTAATTATTAGAAAAATGATCTTATATTTGGGTATTATGACAATGTCAAATTGCAGTAAGAATTTACCTCTTACTTTCTAATTTCTGTACTTACCCTTTCACAGACCTGTAATAGTCTACAGTTGATTCTTATAGAAGCACTAATCTAAATAACTAGGGATGAAGGTAGAGAGACCTGTCATATCCTCTGATACATATAATAGGATATTCCTGATAACACAATATAGAGTCACGCATTTGAGAAAATATTTATAATCACTACCTTCCCACATGAAGTAATAAAGGTCTCACTGCTCAGATTTCCCCGGCTTATCCTCCACTTTATCAAGAGTATGAAGAAACAGAGCAAAACTCAGTGAAAACATACTAAATCACACTAGCAAAGAAGTTACTTGGTAAAAAAAAAAAAAAAAAAAAGCCACTCTTTAGGATCCTACTAGACTAAACAAAAACTGTGTTTTATGCACTTAAGCACAGTACTTAAATAAAGTAAGAAAAATGTCAATAAGAATTTGAAAGTAAGATTTAGAGCAAATAGTTTGCTTTGGAAAATTACCTGCAACACATGATCTCAAATATTTCAAAAACAATTTAGCTAAATTACCATTAAAAGAATGAAAAGAAAATCCACTCTATAACTAGAATACAAAATAGGAAACTTTTAACAATAGATGATCACAATAAGGTTTATAAGTATCAAAAGGATATGTTTTGGTTCTTTTAAAAGAGATATCTTCAGTCTCATGTCTCCACTTTCAGCAAAATTTTAAAATGCAATTTGATTGTATTCACTGTAAAAATAAAAGTTGGGGGAAAATATAAAATCTGTATTAAAAACAAACACATGTACACAAAAAATAAAAGCAAACAAAACATTTTAGCACTCTTAGGACACCAAAACACCTTTAGTACTGTTGGCATCAAATACATGGAAAGAAGAAGAAAACTAGTCAGTATGCTAATCCTGCCAAGGAGTGACTAGAAGCCTTGGATGGGACTCCAGAGGTCCTCTACAACCTGCCTGAACAGTATACAAGTACAGACCACCACTAATTCTGAGCGGGTAAATAATTTCCAAAAGCTGTCCTAGGGCCAAATCAAAAGACTCTGTAAACTGGGAACCCCTTAATGGCAGATCATTATTGGTCCTATTGAATGGTACATTAGAATAAATTCCTAAGGTCTAATCAAGGGATCAAGGCCTTAATTTTAATGGCTTCAATTCTGGAGCCCACATGTGACTATTATGACATCATCAATCTGAGGTTTACATTCTGTTGGAGACAGAAACACTGACCAACAGTTATGGTTGTCACAGTAGCAATAAGAAAAATAAGTGAGTTATTTAAGAAAGAGGTAATAAATCTCTTATAAAAGTTATATAAAAATTGCAATGATAATTTGCCAAATAAAAATATAGAAAAAGAATAATACTCCCCCAAATAACCTTGTCATCACAAGATAAAAATCACATGGAATTTCCTCAAAAAATTAAAAATAGAACTACCCTATAATCCAGAAGCACCCTACTGGGTATTTACCCAAAGAATACAAAAACACTAATTCAAAAGGAAATATGTACCACTGTGTTCATTGTACCATTATTTACAATAGCCAAATTATGGAAGCAGCCCAAGTGTTAACTTGACAGATGGATAAAGAAGAGGTGGTGTATGTATGTGTGTGTATAATGAAGTATTAATCATCCACAAAAAAGAATGAATTCTTGCCATTTGCAACAACATGGATGAAACTACACAGTATTATGCTAAGTGAAGTAAGTCAGAGAAAGACAAGTACCATATGATCTCACTCATATGTGGAACTTAAGAAACGAAGCAAACAAAGGGAAAAAAAGAGACAGAGAGACAAACCAAGAAACAGATTCTTAACTATAAAGAACAAACTGGTGATTATGAGGGGCGGGGTTGTGTGTGAAATAGGTGATGAGGATTAAAGAGTACACTTACCGTGATGACCAATGAGTAATGTACAGAATTGTTGAATCACTGTATTGTATACCTGAAATTAACATAACCCTGTATGTTAACTATACTGGAATGAAAATAAGAAACTTAAAAATATATATATAAATTAGAACACCTGGTGGTTCAGTCAGTTAAGCACCTTTTTTTTTTTTTTTTTTTTTAAGACAATGTATTTGAGAGTCAGAGAGAAGCAGACTCTCCGCTGAGCAGGGAGCCCAATGTGGGACTTGATCCCAGGACTCCAGGATCATGACCTGAGCCTAAGGCATTTGCTTAACCAATTGAACCACCCAGGAGCTCCAGAATCTGACGCTGGATTTCAGCTCAAGTGATGATCTCAGGGTCCTGAGATCCAGCTCTAGGGGGATTTCCAAGCTCAGTGGGGAATCTGCTTGAGATTCTCTCCTTTTCCCTCTGCCCCTTCCCCTCTCTGAAACTCCCCCACCACTCAGTACACATGCACACTCTCTAAATAAATAAATAAATAAATAAATAAATAAATAAATTTTTTTAATTACTCTTAGGCACCAGGGGGTTCAGCTGGTTAGCAGCCAATTCTTAATTTTGGTTCAGATCATGATCTCAGGGTCCTGGGATTGAGCCTAGGATCAGGCTCCCCACTCAGTGGAAGTCTGCTTATCTCCCCTCCCTCTGCTCACTCTCTCGCAAGTAAATAAATCTTTTTAAAATTTTTTTAAAAATAAATTACTCATATATATATTTGTAACTCATATATTTATTTATAGAAACAAGAAAATTGCTAAATTGCCTAAACCTAATTTATAGTTACAGAATTCTTTCTGAGTAATATCACTAACTTAAAAAGAAAAAAACAAATGAAAGTGTAATTAAAGGAAAAAATATCTCTTTGCCCAGTAGAAAATTACTGCTAACTACATCAAAGGAGCTGCTGAGTACAGATAAGTATTCAGTGGACCTCCCTTAGAAAATTTCTCATTCTCCCAAATCCAAGAAGACTTTTAGATCAGCAAAGTGCTAAATACAGCTGTATTTCAAAGCACCTTTTTCACTTATTCTGCTCATTAATTTGTTTGATTGGGTGGGGGTGGGGACTGTTAAAACCACAGGAAAAAATCTTAAGATTTATGGTCAACCAACATGCAACTAGGGTCAGAAACACTTATTTTCCAGTTAGTTCACTTAGGGAGATTTCTGTCCTTCTTCAAAAGTATGAATCTATGTATAGTAGCCAGACCAAGAATATGCTCTCTCTGAGGCACACCTTCCAGGGCTTACTTTTTGGTCTTTGGGAGCACCTTTAGCACCTTTCTCAAAACTCCTTCCTCCTTTCCATCAGAACTTCTCCTAATTATAGGGGAGGAAAAGAGCAAAAGTACTTACAAAATCCTGCTTTTTTCCCACAATGATTCAAATTCACCAAGCTTATAAGGATTTTAAAACAATAAAGGCAGACAAATTGGTGCTTCTGGAAATGACAACACAATAGATAAGAAAATACATGTAAAATCTGAATATACAATTGCAATCAGAAACTTAAAAGATCTTTGGCAAAGGCATGATGTATCCTACATCAAAATACCTCAAATTGTTGAAAACCATGACAATTAGGAATAATTCCTCACCAAAGAAATTATAATCCCATGTAAATAGTAAAGGCAGTATGGTTTTGTTTTTTTTTTTAAGATTTTATTTATTCATTTGACAGAGAGAGAGATCACAAGCAGGCAGGGAGGCAGGCAGAGAGAGAGGAGGAAGCAGGCGCTCCGCGGAGCAGAGAGCCCGATGCGGGGCTCCATCCCAGGACCCTGGGATCATGACCTGAGCCGAAGGCAGAGGCTTTAACCCACTGAGCCACCCAGGCGCCCCGGCAGTATGGTTTTGATAAGAAAGGTATCTGCAACCATTCAGAAACCTGGTGCCAAGGAATCAGAGCAAGGCATTCCAACACTGGGAAGATTCTCCCTTGCTCAGAAAGATATTCTATCCTATTTAGCTGAGATCATGTGCATGAAGGATATGTGCATTCTAATATGAGACTGGATAGTAGAGTAAGGGAAAAGAAGTATTAGAGCATTGCCAATTTGAGGAAGTACAAAGCTTCCTGAGGACTGCATTGAGGCTTTTTTTCCACCCAAAGCCACGGTCATCAAAGCTGATCAGTCAGTAGTATTTGGGGAGAGGGAGTGGCTGAGGTGGGGGAGATAATAGTAAGAAAATCTCTACAGTATAGCTAACTTGATCTACTCTGCAATTTTATATGAGAAAATGATGGGAGCAACTATGCCTTTACCCCTAAAAATCACTGATAAGTTGTTTTTGGTCCAGTATAGGTCAACATTTGTGGGGCTTAAGAAGAAAAAATGGAAGGGATTCCTGGGTGGCTCAGTTGGTTAAGCATCTGCCCTCACCTCAGGGATCAAGTCCCGCATTGGGCTCCTTGCTCAACTGGGAGTCTGCTTCTCCCTCTCTCTCTGCCTGCCACTCTCCCTGCTTGTGCTCTTTCTGTCAAATAAACAAATAAAATCTTAAAAAAAAAAAAAACTAAACTAAAATTCAGATTGGAGTTTTAAGTTTTATTTATGTGTCAATTATATCAGATTTTGAGAGAGAATGTAGACATTGGTAATGATAAGGTAGGTTAAGATTGTGAAAGTGCGGGGTGCCTGGGTGGCTCGGTGGGTTAAGCCCCTGCCTTCAGCTCAGGTCATGATCTCAGGGTCCTGGGATCAAGCCCCACATTGGGCTCTCTGCTCAGCAGGGAGCCTGCTTCCCCCAGTCTCTCTCTGCCTGCCTCTCTGCCTACTTGTGGTCTCTCGGTCTCTCTCTCTCTCTCTCTGTCAAATAAATAAATAAAATCTTTAAAAAGAAAAAAAAAAAAAAAGACTGTGAAAGTGGGTATATGAGGCCAAGGAGCTAAGAGGCCAGGGAATGGAGTGTAATGATTTGTGGATATTAAATCACTGAGAATAATGACAATAATAGTAGTAGAGGATAAAGACAGCTAGGTGCTCAAATATTCATTGAGGAAAAACTGCAGAGATCTGCAACTGACTACAAAAAGGATAGAGAATGGTTTAATCTGGTAGGACTTGTTTAAAGGGACTAGGGAATTATAAAGAGAAAGAGAAAAAGAATCCATTGTCCAGATACATCAGTGAGAAATAAGGCCTTTCGACACATGGGATCATGGGAGGCAAACAGCCTCCACTTGAAGGGGCCATGGGGAAAGCAATTTCCTTAAGAAACAACAAGATTTAAGTTAGACTACCAAGGTAAAGGGATCATTCAGAGTAAAGGCTGAGAATGCAGATTTGGCCAATAACATACTGTGAGTTCCAAAAGGTAGAATGGTAGGATTTATGGGGAGGAGTTAAGAGTTTGGGACAGATGGTAGAAAATGGTAGAAATGGCGGGCTGTCCTCCAATATTCATTCATCCCTCCTTCTGTGATAGAAAAATCTGAGTTTTTGCTGTACACCGGCCACCTAGAATAAAACTATGTTTCCCAGCTGCCTTCAAAACTAGATGTGGCCACACAGGGCATTAATTCTGATACCCATGTGGAGATGGTACATCATCATCAACCTAGTGGCCCAATCTGGGATTTACATTCTGTGGTTAACCACAACAGCAATACGAAAAGTAAATGATTTTCCTAAGGAAGCCATTTTATGAACTCTTACAAAAGTTTTATAAATCACAACATAATTGATAAATAAAAATTTGAAAAATAAGAGTAACACTCTCCATGCTATGTCATCAAGGACATGTATACAACAGTAACAAGATAGAGCCAAGATTCTTGACCTTGTGGAGAGTCCATCAGTTTTTACCACCTTTTCTGTGACAGAAAATAAAGTTTTATCATGTGTAAATTACCATCATCAACAGCTAAGCCCAGTAACAAACTAACCTAGGGAATTAAGAGTCTTGAATGTGGAGATTGAGGTAAACATAGATAAAAGGCATGCTGGAATAGTCCCAGTGGTCTCACAAGGGAGGGTGGATAATCAATTTAAACTGCAGCCATCTTCCTGGAACTGGTCTCTAAGGTAGTTTGCAGTGTTGATGCAGTTTTGTAAGGGAAGAAGAGGCAATCTTCCTAAGAGTACATGGAACTCTGCGGGATTCCTTTTCAATCTACTGGGGTGTTAGGCTTTACTTCAATGGGTAGTTTAGGAAGGGAAAGGAACTGCAGAGTTACAGAGGGAATAAATTTCACCAACTTCTTGTCCTAATTTTCCCAGCCTTAAACTCTGGGCTCCGTTCTTGTACCTCCTCTATATTTACACTACTGCCATGGTGGTATCACCCAGTTTCATGGCTTAATATAAATTCAAACATATTGACTGCATAGTGACAATTTCCAATTTCATATCTCCAGTTCAGACCTCTCCACTGAACCTGATTTTATATCTAACTGTTTATTTGACAACTTATCTGAATGTCTAACAAACATCTCAAACTTGAGATCCAGATGAAACTGCTGATCATTCCTCTAACAGCTCCTCTCATGGCCTTACCAATCTCAGTAAATGGTAATTCCTTTCTTGTGGTTGCACAGGCCTAGAATTAGAATTAGAATTATCACTGACTCTTCACTCACATCCCAACTCCAAGTTTTAAAAATCAAAACTTTTACACTCTATCTTCAGAATATCTGATTTTTGCCACCCCCACTGTTATGACCCCAGTTTAAGGTGCTATCATTTGTTGGCTTGGATATAATAGCCTCTTAATTGGCCTCTAACCCCTCATCATCTATACTTACCACAGCAGCCAAAGTGACTGTTTTAAAATAGATCATAGCACTTCTCTGCTCAAAACACTACAATGACTTCCTATCTCACTCAAAGTTAAAACAAAGTTCTTGCAACAGTTCAAAGCTTTTCTTACTCTGGACTCCTCTACTGTAATGGTTAATTTTATGTGTCAACCTGGCTATACAACAGTGCCCAATTATTTGGGCTAATCTAAATGTTGCTATAAATGTATTTTTTAGAAGTGATTAACATTTATAATCAGTCAACTTAGAGTAAAGCAGATTTCCCTGCATAATGTGAGTGGCTTCCATCTAATCAGCTGAAGGCCTTATGAGGAAAGACCACTATTTCCTCAAGAAGGAATTCTGCCTCCAGACTGCAACACAGAAATTTTGCCCAAGTTTCTATTTTTTGGACTCAAGACTACAACATCAACTCTTCTTCTCTGGAGAGCCCTAATATATCCTAATATTCTCTGACCCTACCTGATTCCTCTCTCTCTCTTCACTCAAACTGCTCCAAATACACAAACCTCTTCTTTTTCTAACATACTAAGAATGCTCCTGCCTCAGGGCCTTTGAACTTGTATTCTTTGACTGAACTCCCTGCCCCTAGGTAGCTGCATGGCTTACTCCTTTTCCCTCCTTTATATCTCTCCCCCCAAATCACCTTCTCAGTGAAGCCTTCCCTGTACACCCTATTTAAGGCCAACTGCCATACTATGCATTTTACTTACTGTTCCTTTCTAAAATGTAAGCTTCCTAAGTACAAGAACTTTTGTCTATTTTGTCCATTCCTATATTCTCTGCATCTAGAACAATCCTTGCATACTCTAAAATGGAATCAGCAGCATAGGTCATAAGGGTAGAAGTTAAAATCATATAACTGTACATATTAAGCTATTTAAGTGTAGAGATTAAAGGATGAAATAGAATAGTAGCTATAAAGGCCTTTTTAACTAGGGTAAACTCCAGTATGTTTGGGGACAAAAGAGAAGGAATCAGTGGAGAGGGATAGATTGGCAATACTATAGAAGCAGAAAATAACTAAGACAACACAGTCATCCATGAAGTCACTTGATCAAGGGCACTGATAAACATATAAATTAACAGTTCACAGAAACATAAGTACAGATGGTAAGCGGGTGATCAAAAACATGAAACAATGCATAGCCTCAATTATAATTAAAGAAATGAAAACTAAAACAACTAGATACCATTTTTCTGTTATCAGAGTGGTTAAAGGCAAAATACTCAGAACCCAGTGCTGACATACGGAGAAACAGAAACACATACATTACTGAAGAACAGGTAAATTACTGCTAATGGTCATTTATTCTTGTTCTCTACCCCAAATCTTTGACTGGTTTTCCTATACTTGGGTAATCCCCTATCTTACGAGTCCTTTTCTCATTATAAGAAACATTATTTCCTCTCTAGCCTTCCTTATAGCTAGACAGAGTAAGTACCCTAGGCTCTGCCAATCTGACACATCTGTGCTAAACTTTGTTAGAAGCTATGATTCAATGGAAGTATTCTATAAAAAATCTAGCCTGGGAAGAATCGCTAGTCATAGGAATTTATCACATACATAAAAATGTATATCAAGATATATATGCAACTACATACACCTGTTTATTACAGAACTCTGTATACTTCCATCAAAAACTAAGTTTAAATGTTCATCATGGATTACACACTCA